ACTCGAGCTGCAGATGAGCTGCAGAGCTGTGGGGCACAGCAATCAGAAGATAATCGTTAGGCGCGCTAGTTCAGAGTATTTCGATGCCCGACCTCGGTCTGCTGTCAGAGCTGGGTGTGAAAACTATGGGTACTCCGCCAAATTTTTAGAGATAATCTAGTTTTCTGGATATATATCGACCTGATGATGGGTCACAGACATGTTTGGCACAGCAAGCGGAAGAACATGATCACGCCCGAACTCGGTCTGCTACCCGAGCTGAGTCCGAGACACTTTTGTATTCGAGTATTTTTAAAGTGATGCTACCTTTCTTTATGTAGCTCGAGCTCCAGATCAGATTGGAGCTGTTCGGCACAGCTGGACGAAGATCATCGGCCCTTCACTCTTCCGCCTTCGTCATCCTCCACCCCCTTCTGCCCTTCCGCCTCCCTCTTCTCTTCCTCCTTCTTCTAGTCCTCATTGGCCTCATCCATCTCCTTTGTCATGGCTCTTCCTTTTTCCCCGGTCCTCCTCGCCCGCGCCGCAAGAAAGCTCTGCGAATTCCCGGCGGTAACCAAGGTTGACGGCTTATCGCCGGCGCCCAGTTGGCAATTAAAATCTTGACGGGAGTTTTTTGTTGGGGATTTGTTTAAACTGAATATCTAGACATTTAATAGTTTGTTAGGGTTATCGTATTTTCTCCTTATTTTCGATCTTATTTCAGCTCGCCATCTTACTCTCAGGTCGATCGGGCACTTGAAAAAGCATCCAAGCGGAATCGGCTGTTTTGTGTCATCTTCGCAGATGCTGGTTTTCTCAACTTAGTTCGAGCTCCCGAAGAGGTACAGAGCCGGCGGGCACACCTAATTCATCTCGAATGATCAGGCGCGTTAGTCTCAAGTATCTAGGTGTCTGAACTCGGTCTGCTACCAGAGCTGGGTCCGCTAAACTGTTCGTACTCTGCCATTTTTTGTTGGAAATGATGATAAGTTTCTTGATGTACAACAATCGACTAAGAGTCATCAGGGGGCGTTGCTTTGAAGTATCTAGATGCTCGAACTCGTTTTGCTACCATAGCTGGGTCCGAACAATTAATTGTATCCTGCTAATCCTATGAGATGGTGATGGTTTTGTTGACTTATCTCAAGCTGCAGATGCGCTACAGAGCTGTTTGGCACAGCAATCGGAAGTAATTAGTCATGCGCGCAAGTCTGAAGTATCTAGATGCCAGACCTCGGTCTGCTACCAAAGCTGGGTCCGACAACAACTATTCGTACTCTGCTACTTTTTGAAAGACATGATGATCTTTGTTCTCGACTAGCTCGAGCTCCTCATGAGCTACATATTTCTTTGGTACAGCAATCGTAGGGAAATCATCAGACGCGCTAGTCTCAAGCATCTAGATGCAGTTGGAACCAACCAAAACTACTTGCACTCGGTCTGCTACAAGAGCTGGGACAACAAACTATGCGTAGTTCTGCTCCTTGTCCTCTTCTTTCTCCTCCTTCTCCTCCTCCTCTGTCTCCTCCATCTGCTCCTCCTCCTCTTCCTCCTCCTTCTCTTCCTCCTTCTTCTGATCTTGCTCACTCTCGCGCGCGCGGAATGCGAGATTTCCGCGCCCGCATTGCGCGAGGAAGCTCTGCGAGTTTCCGGCGGTAGCCAAGGTTGACGGTTTGCCGCCGGCTCCCGGTTGGCCGGCCCGGCCCGGGCGGACAATGACTCGTAGAGCTTCCCAGAGAGCGAGGCGTCGAAGCTAGAAGAGTAATTCCGGCGCGCTGGGGGTCTAGTTGACAAGAAAACCCCGACGGACGTTTTTCATAATTTTGTTCGGTTTAAATTCGATTTCTCGGAATTCGAACATTCGTTAGGTTTCTAGTATTTATTCCCCATATTCGATCTTATTCCCGCTCGCCACTTTAATCTCAGGTCGATCGGGTACATGTTCCTGTCAAAAAGCACTCATGCGGGATCTGCTGTTTAGTGTCACCTTGGCAGGTGCTGTCGGTTTTGTTAACTTAACTCGAGCTGTAGAAAAGCTACAGAGCAGTTCGGCACAGCAATCGAAAGGACATCATCAGGCGCACTAGTCCCAAGTATCGAGATGTCCGAACTCGGTCTGCTACCAGAGTTGGGTCAGAAAACCTATTCGTACCCTGCTCATTTTTTCAGAGATGATGATGAGTTTCTCGATGTAAATCGAGCTGCACATTTGCTACAGAGCTGTTCGGCGCAGCAATAGAAAGATCATCATCAGAAGGGCTAGTCTCAAGCATCTAGACGCCCGAGATCGGTCTGCTACCATAGCTGGGTCCGAAAAAAACTATTCGTACTATGTTTTTTTTTGTTGTTGTTGAGAGATGACGATGAGTTTCTTGATGTAACTCGAGCTGTAAATGAGCTACAGAGCTGTTTGGCACAGCAATCGAAATAACTATCATGAGGAACGCCACTCTGAAGTATCTAGATTTCCGAACTCGTTTCGCTCCCAAAGTTGGAACCGAGAAACTATTTGTACGCTGCTAACTTTTCAGAGCTGATAATGAGTTTTTTGATGCAACTCGAGCTGCAGATGAGCTACAGAGCTGTTTGGCACAGCAATCGAAATAACAATCATGAGGAGCGCCACTCCTGAACTATCTAGATGCCCGAACTCGGTTCGCTCCCAGAGTTGGACCCGAACAACTCTTCGTACTCTGCTATTTTTTCAGAGCTGATCATGAGTTTTTTGATGCAACTCGAGCTGTAGAGGAGCTACAGAGCTGTTTGGTACAGCGATCGAAAGAAAATCATCAGACGCGCTAGTTTCGAGTATCTAGATGCCCAAACTCGGTCTGCTACCAGAGCTGGGTCTGAAAAATATGTGTACTTTGCTAAATCATTCCTCTTTCCCCTTTCCAACCTCCCCCACCTGCTCGTCATCCTGCTCTTCCTCCTGCGCCCTCCTTCTCCTCTGCCTGCTCCTTTTTTTTCTCCTTCTCCTTCTGTTCCTCAGCCTCTTCAGCTCCTCCTTCTCCTCCTCACTCCTTTCTTTAACTCCACGTCCTCCTCGATGAAGCCGCACCCTCGCGCGCGCGGAATGCGAGATTGCCGCGCCCGCATTGCACGAGGAAGCTCTACGAGTTCCCGTCGGTTGGCCAAACAAATCTCGACGGAAGTTGTGTCTCTTTTTGACATATTTCAAATCATTTCCTCGAACTTTGCAAGGTTTCCCCCCTCATTCGATCTTATTCCCGCTCGCCATTTTAATTTCAGCTCGATCGGGTACATACTACTGCCAAAAAGCACTCTGGCGGGATCGCCACGACGGCCTGATTTTCCGAAGTTTCAGGCCGTGGAGGCCCTTCTGGTACTTGGGGCCACCAATCGACGACCCGGACGAGAAACTGGTCCCGAGGATATGGTCGAGGGGCTGGGAGTCCGACGTCGTAATCAATTGATGCGACATCGGCGGTCTGGGCATTCCCGGCCCCCATCCTCTGCCCCCCTCTCATTCTCCCTTCGCGCCGATCTCTCCTCGCCCTTCCTCTCCGCCCTCCGTTCTGCCCTCTTTCCCCTTCCCTTCCTCCTTCTCATTCTCCGCCACTCTCCTCGTCCCCCTCCCCCTCCCCGCCCGCCCTCCGTGTCAGCTCGCAGCCCTGCCCTCGTCCTCGTCCTCGTCATTTTCCTCCTCCCTTTCCGGTCTCCCAGAGGGTGGGAGGGGGAGGAGGGGAGGGGAGTGGGCACTCCGAAGGATAAGGAGAAAGGAAGAAACCTCCTCCTCCCTCTTCCGTCCTCCTCCTCCTCCTCCTCCTCGTCCTCCTCCTTCTCCTCCTCCTCCTCCTCCTCCCCCTCCTCTTCTCTATTCTTCATTCCTGCTGTTCCTCTTCCCCTTTCTCTTCGTTCTCTTCCGCTTCTTCTTTCCCCTCGCCCTTCCTCTGGCATCCATCTCTCCGACCCTGGCTTTCATTTGCAAGACTCTGGCAGCCTTGTCTTCTGCGACCCCGACTCATTTTTCGATTCACGCTTGGTGCATCTTCGCGACGTCGTCCCATCAGCAAGTCCCGCGACGGTTGTGTTTTCTTGCTTTTGTCAGCCATTCTTGGGCACTTCGGCTTCACCCTGCGGCACGCACGCGGTGCATTCTGCATGCAGATGTCCGATGTCCGATGTAAGGCAGATGTCCGATGTCCGATGTCTTAGGGGCTTCGGCCTCACGCGCCTTGCCCAAGTGGGCACAGGCACGCGCGCTTCGCCGCACGCGCCTGCACTCGCGCCTCGCTCGCTCGCTCGCTCGCTTCACCCTTCTCTTCCTGTTCCCTGCTCCCTGCTCCTCCTTCCCTCCCAGCTGTCTTTGTTTGTCTCCGGGAGTTTTGGAGCTCTGTGATATCTCAGGGTGTCTCCAGATGCCTTTCTGGGCCCTGGGAGCGTCCGGGTGCCCAGCAGCCTCCACAGGGCTCCATCTTGGATCTTCGGTCCTTTATCCTTGATCCTCGATCCTCAGTCTTGGATCCTCGATCCTTCATCCTCCGTCCCGTGCCCTGCGATCCCGGACCGTCTTGCCTGGGTGCCGTGGTGCGACTCTTGCCTGTGGCCCACGGCCCGACGGGCGCGCGTTTTACCCTTCCCGCCCTCCGTCTCGCCATGATGGGCCCACGGAGGCCCCAGGACTGCTCCGAGAGACGCGCCTCCTCGCCCGCCTGTTGGCCCGGCCTGGCGCTCGCAGCTCCTCCCGTGCAGGGGCCAAGGCCGCCACGCCGCCCGCGGGGGCGCGACGATGAGATCGCGCGCCGCGCGCCGCGGTCTGGGCCGAAGAGCGCTGCCCTCTCTCGCAGGCGCAGGCGCGACGCCGGGCGCAGACGGCCGCGGGTGCCGCGCGCCGCCCCGGCGCGACCCGGGCGGCCGAGCGGCGCCAGGGGGCCCGCCGCGCCGCCCGCCTCGGCTCAGGGCCCGATGGGCGTGCTTCGCCTCCCCCCCGCCCGCGGTCCGGCCCGCCCCGCGGCGCCGGCGCGGGCGCCGGCCCGCGCGCGCCGCGGCCCAGGGAGGCCGACGGGGAGGCTGGCGCCGCGCGCACCCGCCGGCCCGCGCCCGCTGGCGCGCGCCGCATGGAGGTTGGCTTCCGTCGGGCCTGCCCCTCCACAGGAGGAGGATTCGACCAGGATTCAGAACACCAGGCTGGGGCGTTTTCTGGACTGTGTTTGACTATTTTTGAGTACTTTTCGTCCACAGTCCAAAGTGCACCTGTGGGGGGACAGGCCCGATCTGCAGGTCGGCGCGCGCAAGAGCGTGGCGGGCAAGCGGCTCGACCTCTCCTCGGACCGGCGCGCCGCCTGGGTCCTCGGCCGGCTCTGCGCCATCTTCACGGTCCCGCCCTCGAGGGCGGAGAAGTTCCGGCAGGCGTTCGCGCAGGACGAGGCCTCGTGCAAGGAGATAGGGGTCGGCGCTCGCTGGACGCCCCTGCACCGCGCCTGGTCCTGGCCAGGTCTGGGCCCAGGCCCAGATCTCCGACGACCTGGTTTTTCATCGATTTTGGCCTCATGGGGCCCGCTTGCAGGCCCCACACAGTCAGATCCGGGACGAGAAACCACCGTGGGGGAGGCGGCCTGGACCTCCGTGGGGCTCTGGATGCAAACAATCCCAGATGTGCGATGTCCTGACCTGTTTCAGCACGCGGTCCATTTTTCCCGTTGCCCAGGGCCGGCTTTTCATCCTGAATCGTTTCTTCAATGTCTTAGGTCCCAGCAAACGACCGAAAGGGAAACCCAAGCAGGAGGAGGAGGAGGAGGAGGAGGAGGAGGAGCAGGATGAGGTGGAGGAGGAGGAGGAGGAGGAGGAGGAGGAGGAGGAGGGAGAGGATGAGGAAGAGGAGGATGAGGAGGAGGGGGAGGACCAGTGGAAACCCAAGAGTCATCAACGATGTTGGAATTCTCCCTCCCTCCAAGCTTCCTCTTTATAGGCCTCTACAGCGATATATTTCCATTGAGGGAACTGCCTCGTTGAAAGACAGCTGTTTGAAGATCCTGAAGCGTACCAAAACATTGCTCCCGGGATTTCAACGCCACGTATCAACCTGACTGCCGCGTCTTGAAGATATAGAATCGTGGCAGAACGCCATTTTCGGGACTTCAACACAGCAAATCAACATAACTGTTTCGCCCGCACAATCTTCAATCCTTCCCAAACACGATTTCTGGTGCGTTGATCATGGGACTCCGTGAACATCCAGCAAACTTAAAAAACGAATGTGGCGCTGAGGCGAGAGCCACATTCTGAAAAGGAACCGCCCTCAATCCGTGAAGCTCTTGCATTTTGTTAAACGAGTGTGCGCGGCGCTAAGGCGAGAGCCACATTTTGAAGACCACCCACCCTCAATCCGTGAAGCTATTGCAACAATAATGTGCGCGGCGCTAAGGCGAGAGCGATATTTTGAAAACCACCCGCCCTCAATCCTTGAAACTCTTCCATTTTTTGACGAATGTGCACGGCGCTAATGGGGGAACCACATTTTGACAACCACCCGCCCTCAATCCGTCAAGCCCTGGTCAATTTTAAACAAATGTGGACGGCGTTAGGCGATAGCCACATTTAGAAAACCACCCGCCCTCAATCCGTGAAACTCTTGCAAAGTTAAAACAAAAAACGAATGTGCGCGGCGCTAAGGCGAGAGCGACATTTTGAAAGCGACCCGCCTTCCATCTGGGAAGCTGTTGTGACTTTTTGAAGCTTCAGAGTCGTAAATGGTGCGGCAGTCTCAGGCGAAACGCCCGGCTCGCCCCAAAAACTGGCCTCGGGGTGCGACAGGGAGGAGTTCTCTACAAGGAGAAGGAATGGAGGGGGAGGAGGAGGAGGAGGAGGAGGAGGAGGAGGAGGAGGAGGAGATGAGGAGAGAAGGATGAGAAGAGGAGGGCAGGGGAGGAAAAGGAGGAGGAGACGACGAAGAGGTTCAGGAGGCGGAGGGCGAGGGTGAGGGTGATGGGGGCGGAGGAGGAGGATGATGATGATGAGGAGGAGAGGAAAAGGGGGAGGAGGAGGGTGAGGGGAGAAGGGGGAGGAGGAGGAGGAGGAGGAGGAGGAGGGAGGAGGAGGAGGAGGAGGAGTGGAGGAGGAGGAGGAGGAGGAGGAGGAGGAGGAGGAGGAGGAGGAGGAGGAGGAGGAGGAGGAGGAGGAGCAGGGGGAGGAGGACACGTCTTCCAGAGTTCGAGCACGTCTGGGCCTGGGGCCGCGGAGATCGCACCAGCCAGCCATGCCGGCGGACGTCGGGGCACCGCTCTCGGCCGGGCTGGTGCTGGGCCCGGGACTGGCCTGGCCGGGGCCGGCGGCGCGGGTGTGCGGCCAACGCCTTCCGGGCAGGAGCTCGACCGCTTCCTCAACCAGGACTCGAAGAAGAGAAAACTGCACCCCCCCCCTCCCTCTCCCTATCGTCCTCCTCCTCCTCTCTTCCTCCTCCTCTTCCTCCTCTTCCTCCTCTTCTACTTTCTCTTCCTCTTTCTCCTCCTCCTTTTCCTCCTCCTCTTTCTTCTACTCTTCCTCCTCCTCCTCCTCCTCCTTTTCCTCCCCCTCAGGGGTCGTTGAGAGCAGGTATCTTCGTGCCTCTGGATCTCGAACTGCTCTCGGCGCCTTCCTGCTTCAGGAGTCGAACGCCTTCTCTCGTCCCTCCTCTTTAGGGGGCAGGCGGAGACCCAATCTAGTTGCTTCCAACGCCTTCCTGGTTCATGCCTCCACCCACTTCTTCTGACCGATGGGTGAACAAATTCTAGACGCTTCGTGCAATCCCTATCAGCCGGTTTCCTGCCTCTGCGTTGTGGCCCTGTTCTTTTTCCGCTGCCGTGCACTTGCACGGCTTCGCACTTCGCTTGACCTCATGACGCCGCGCGGGTGCCCGCTCGCGGTCGCGATCAAAAAGTAATCCCTGTCAGCCCTTCCAGAAATGATGCCTAGAGGAGTTGCCTCGCTCAGGGAAGTGGGCACCATACAGAGGAAGGGTCCCCCGGTGGAGGCCTCTTGGAGCGTCCTGGGTGCCTCGGGGGGCCTCTTGGCGTGGGTGCCTCTTTCTCGCCCTCTCCTGGTTCGCTCTTGAGGCGCTCTTGGGCGCTCTTGGTGCTGTCTTGGAGCTCTCTCGGTCCTGTCTCCAGTCTTGGAACCATCTTGAGGCTTCGGAAGGCTATCGGAAATGGAAGGGCGAGAAGCCCATGCAGAGTCGATGTTCACATAGGTTGCGCTGATCAGAGAGATGAGGGATCATACAGAGAAAGCAGGGGCTCGGGAAGCCGTCCTTTTCCCACAGAGTGTAGCATGGAAGAAAAGTACAAGGAGAAGGATGATTATGCTGATGAAGCCGATGATGATGATGATGATGATGATGATGCTGATGATGATGATGGTGATGGTGATGGTGATGGTGATGATGATGCTGATGATTATGGTGACGATTATGATGATGCTGATGATGATGCTGATGCTGATGCTGATGCTGCTGATGCTGATGATGCTGATGATGACGATGGTGATGATGATGATGCTGATGCTGATGATGCTGCTGCTGCTGCTGCTGCTGATGATGATGATGATGATGATGATGATGATGATGAGGAAGAGGAAGTGGATGAGGAGGAGGAAGAGGAAGAAAGACACAGAAGGGGCAGGAGTGAGGAGAGGATGAGGCCAACCAGAAAGCCAGAGACCTCTTGGATGTCTTTCATAATGTCGTGGGATGTTTCTTGGAGACTTGCTCCGAGGCCTCTTGGGGCGTCTTGGGGTCCTCCTGGCGGTCTTGTGAGCCTCTCGGGACGTCTTGTATGCCGCTGGGAGCCTCTTGGGGGCCTCTTGGGGGCCGCTTGCGGCCGTCTTGGAAGCCTCTCGGGAGCCTCTTGGAGCTGTCTTGGGGGCCTCAGAGGCCCTGTTGGGGCCATCTTGGAAGAGCTCGAGCAAAGAAGGGAGGTTCTTTAATTAGCCTCCCTCCTCGGAAGCCCCCATGCTGGCCTCTTGGGCCCCTCTTGGAGCGCTCTTAGGGTGCTCTTGTGCGCTCTTGGGGCCGTCTTGGGGCTCTCTTGGGCTTCTTGGGGCCCTCTTGGGCCCTCTTGGAGCCATCTTGAGGCCTCGGAAGGCCATCGAACGCAATAAGGCGAGAAGGCAACACTCACTTATTTTCTTCAGATTGTAATAGGATTGTGGCCTCTCAGGGGCCTCCGCGGCAACTTGGAGCCGTCTTGGAAAGGTCTTGGGGCCTCTTGGAGCATCTTGGAAAGCATATTGGGCCAGCTTGGGCTGTCTTGAGCCATCTTGGCATCCTGGTCTCTGAGGCGCTCTTGGAGCCATCTTGGGCCCGAAAGGAGCCTCCAACACCTCGCGAACCCCCCCTGGTCCAGGGGAGGGGGTATGGGGGAGGGGTAAAACACCCCTTCGCCCCCCCAAGGGGAAGAAGGGGGTTGAAATAGAAAGTACTCTATACCACCTGCGCCCAGAGGGCTGGTGGGATTTTCGAGGGTCCGCGCAGGTTTTTTGGATGCGCGCTGCCCCCCCCCCCCTGGCAGCGCCTCCGGCGCCGCCCCTGGCGCGCGCAACTTGCGCGCGCCAGGGAGGGTGGTCTCGCGCGCCCGGGAGGGGGTCCAGCACCGATCACAGGAATCCGTGCGGACCTCCGAAGCATTGTGTCTTCAGGGCGTCTTCTGCCCCTGCTTCCGCAGGAGGAGACCCCGGCCTGCTTCTTCCACCCCGCGGCGGGGGGGGAGTCCTGCACCGCCTCGACCGACGTGCCGCTGCCCGCCCAGATCAGCAAGCGCAAGGTCGTGGTGGTCGTCCGGACCCAGTTCGAGGCCGAGATCACCGAGGACGACATCCGGTCCAGGGTGATCATGCTCGAGCTCTCTGGCGGCGTCATGGACGCCTGCCCCGCCGCCGCGGGGCGCTTCTGATCCCCCGCCTCCGTCGGATTCTTTGCTCCGTCCGGTGGCCCCCGCAGGTCTCGACCCCACCTCCGCCCAGACACCCGATGCCTCGCCTTTTCCACTGCAGGGTGATGGCCTGGAAGTCCTGATCCTTCGCCTGGACGGGCATCTCATCCCGAGTCTTTCTTGACGGCCCAGGGCCCGGCCAGGGCCCCCAAAGGCCGAAAATGACCCAGACCCTATCCCAGATGTTCGGCGTCTCGATTCTTTCGAGACATGGGCCCTGGACCTATCGACCACTGCCCCAGGACAGGTTTTTCATCCCCACGTATTTGTTTTTTGACGGTCCCGAGGATCGGTAAGGGTCCCGAGAGGCCGAACACGATGAACAAAAATCTGCCTCGATTTTTCGAGACGCCGGATGTGCACTCTCTATATTTTTTGTTTGTTTGTTGTTGTTGTTGTCTCTCTCTCTCTCTCTCTCTCTCCTGTGCCCTTCGGTCTTTCTCTCCCTCTCGTTCCTATTCTGCCTCTTTGCCCCCTCTTGTTCTCGTCCTGTCGTGTTCTCTTCCCTTTCCTCCGCCTCTCCTTTCTCTTTCTCTCTCCCCCTCGTCGTCGTCCTCCCCCTCGTCGTCGTCCTCCCCCTCTTCCTCCCTCCTTGCTCTGCTCACGCCTCCCTCCTCCTCGTCGTCCTCCTGCCTCGCTCCGCCGGTATCCCTCGTCGTCGTCGCCTTCCTCCTTCCCCTTTGTCCTTGTCCTCCCTCCTCCTCCTCCTCCTCCTCCTCTTCATCCTTGTCCTCCTCCTCCTCCTCCTCCTCCTCCTCCTCCTCCTCCTCCTTCTCCTCCTCCTCCTCCTCCTCCCCCTTGTCCTTGTCCTTGTCGTCGTTCTCCTCCTCCTCCTCTCCATCCTCTCTCTTCGCATCTCTTTCCCCGTCCTCCAGGGCCCGCCTTGACCAAGCCGACGCCGCCTCTGCTCTCCGCGCCGGCGGCCGCGGGGATTCTACGGTGGCCTCCTCCTCCCGCCGCGAGGGCGTCCCGCGCGGGTCCGACGCTCTGGCGCTGATTACGCCGATGACGACGATGATGTCGATGACGATGATGGGGATGACGATGACGATGACGACGAGGAGGATGATGACGATGGCGGTAGTGGTGTAGGAAACAGTGACGACGACAACGATGAATGTAGCCATGGGGATAAGGCTGGTGACGACGATGACGATGACGATGACCATGATGATGACGATGATGATGAAGATGTTGATGATGCTGATGATGAAGAGAAGATGTCGATGATGATGATTATTCAGTTGAGGACCATGGTGAGATCTCCTTAGCTGATTAGGATGAATGCAGCCCGTGATCTTGATGACGATAATGATATTGATGACGATGATGCTGCTGATAATGATGACGACGATGTTGATGATGACGACGATGAGTTCATTGATCGTGACTATGTATACAGCGATGACAACGATGACGATCATAGTGATAATAATGCTGATTCTGATGTTGGCGATGACGATGACGATCTGCGGCTGCTGCTGATGCTGCTGCTGATGATGCTGATGACGATTACGATGCTGATGCTGCTGCTGATGATGATTATGTTGATGCTGCTGATGCTGATGTTGATAATGATGATGATGATGATGCTGATGATAATGTTGATGATCGTGATGCTGCCGACGATGAAGACGATGATTATGATAACGATGAGCATGCTGATGCTGATGCTGATGATGCTGATGACGATGATGTATACGATGATGCTGAGTATGATGCTGATGTTGCTGATGACGATGATGATGAGGATGATGAGGATGATGATAATACTAGTGGTGGTGGTGGTGGTGGTGATGACGATGCTGCTGATGATGATGATTCTGATGATGATGATGATGATGATGGATGATGATGATGATGATGATGATGATGATGATGATGATGATGATGATGATGATAATGATGATGATGATGATGAGGGTGATGATCCTGGCCCTATTGATTGTGGTTGCGCATACAGCGATGACAACGGTCCATGTAATGATGGCGACGATGATGACGATGAGGATGTTGATGTTGATGACGATGATGGTGGAGTCAAGGATGGTGGCGGCGGTTTCGACGACGCCGACGATGCTGATGGTGGTGGCGGCGGCGGCTGTTCCGATGCGCGTAGCGACGATGAGCAGGTCGGAGGAGCAGGCGGGGCAGGAGGAGAAAGGGGAGGAGCAAGGGGGGGGGGGGTTCGCAGGACGAGCAAGAATGAGTAGGCGGAGCGTGACGTACAGTCGGACCGAGGTATAAGATCGAGGTCGGTTCGGGGAGGGTACCCTAATGTTCTCCGTACTTGTTTGATGTTCTTGTGCATCCTGGGGGGATTCCCTTGGATTTTATGTTTGTTTTGGCCGTCGGAGGGTCTCGTGTTCTTGAAGGATGTTCCGTTCTTCTGTCCCAGGTCCGACCGTAGAAGGACGGGGTGAGTCTGACCTCCCCGAGGATATTCTGAATTCGTACTGCCATTCGGTGTACCTGTCCGTCCTCATGAATCCCAACAACAGGAGAGGCTGGTCCGAGCTGGTCTCCAAGGAGTCTCGCCGCCTTCGGCGCCCCTCGCTTATATTCCTGCTTCGATTCCTCCTTCCCTTCTTCTCCTTGCCCTCCCGCCGCGCTTGTCTTGCTGTAATTGTTGGGGGCCTTTGGTGTGGCCCACAGCGTGACGCAGAGCAGTCGTACGATGAAGCTGGGAGTGTTAGTAGCCACGGCTGCTAGACCAGGTTCTTTGGGAGTTTTTTTGGAGCCTTCGTTTGGGTCCCTCTTGGGGCCCTCTTGGGCGTTCTTGGAGCTATTTGCAGAGGCCTCAGAACACACATCATTGCATTATATTCATATATCTATATATATTTGCTAGGTGTTAGTCTCTTGATCGGAGGTATTGTTTTGCAGCTCAGAGGCCACTTTGAGACGTCTTCTGGTCTTGGGACATTTTGGAGGCATGTTGAAAGTCATCTTGAGCCATCAAGAGATTTCTGCGTGCCGTCCTGGAGGCCATCTTTGGCTCTCTGAGGCCATCTTGCAACCATCCTGCCCAACCTGGGTCGCTTTAACCCCTCGCCCCCACCCGTCCAGACCCGGGGCAAGCGGCACGCGGAGGAAGAGAGGGGGCCTGGAGCAGTTCTCGATCTGAGCACCTGGGCCCCGAGGGCGGGCGGGACGCCGCCTCCTTGCGCCAAAAGGTTTACGTCCAGTGACGACGTGTTCGCGAGACAGGCCAGGCCACTGATACAGAATGTGCTGCGCTTCCCTGAAGTTGAGGCGGGGAGAACGGTAAAGCGAGCCCAGAAGGAGGAAACGTTTCCTGGCCGCCACCCGACCCCTACCCACGATTTACGATGTCGCATGTTGCTCCTGTCCCATGTCTTTTGCACTCCCCAGCCTGCTGCTTCCGCTTCTCGTCCTGCTCCTGTTCTTGCGCCTGTTTTCCATTTTCGACTGTAGCGACCAGCACGCATAGTAGCCTGCGTTCGATGGCCGTCTTAACTGCTCGCAGCGGTGGAGCCTGATGGTGCCCTTGCCGACCAGAGGTGTCATCCCCCTCCGCCATCCTCGCGAGCGAGCGAGCGAGAGCAAGAGGGGGAGAGAAAAGAGAGCGCGCGTGGTCATTTCCCGGTCCTTGGAGGACACCAGCTGCAATCCTGCACCGGTCCTGGCCAGGCTCATCCTGGGCCCGCCCGGGGTCTGCGCCCCCCTGGCCTGGGCAGGAAGGCCTACATACACCGATCCTGGGCCTACGATCGGCCTGGACAGGATCGGTGTACTGTAGGTTCCCATTCTGAGCGCCGCCGGCGACCCAGAATCGGTCGATGTTGAACGATCTGACATTTCGGAAACGGTCGATCGTCAAGGTTGAACGATCCCGCAGTGTTAGAATCCGACGCCGAAGTCGGCACGACACGAACCCGCCGTAGATGCATGGTTGGTGCCCTCCGAGTGTGCGCGTCCGCGTCCGCCCCTGTTGGTGCCTGCGTGCGCGACGAAATCCGCGCTGCCTGCTGCGCATCCTTCGTTCTGCTACCCATCCCCGCGGCGCGCGGGCTCGCTGCGCTAGGTCCTCCTCCCCGAGCATGGAGCCCGCGCGCACGTGCACGTGCGAGCGCGTGCGCGCGCGCGCGCCTTCTGCGCCCGGCCAGCCCCGGAGGACCTCATGGACAAGTTCCAGAGCTTCCTCGCCCACCTGCACGTGATCTGCGGCCAGCAGGGGCAACGTTACCGGGGGGATAGGCCCAGTGGGGGATACGTCGACGCCCGATCGCCGATGGACACTGGTCGCCGATGGGGGGCCCAGGAAAGTGCGGACATTTGCCATCGGGGGCCTCCGGCCGAGCCATCGGCGACGTATCGCCGGTTCCAGCTCGATGTCCCCCCCCTCCTGCGATGGTGCTCCCCATACAGTGGGAACCCATGCCAGGAAACACCCTGCTTGCATCCAGGGCGCTCTGGGTGTCTTGGGTTTCGATGCCCTTGCCCTGGAAAGCGTGACGTGCCCAAACCAAGAATCCACGGACGTCCTGGGGTCTCGGGGTTGGGCTGCTCGTGGAAGGTTTCTTGTGGCTGAGCCCCCACCCCAGACATTCGACGTCGTGATTTTTTCAGGACGGCGTCCCTGGAAGTCCCGACCCTTTCCCCGGGACCGGTTTTTCGTCCCGAGTCGTTTTTTGACGGTCCCGAGGCCCGGGGAGCGCCCCCCAGGGCCGAACACAGTCAAAAACTCGCCGCCCTGATTTTTTTTCTCCGCCCGCGATCGTGTCTGGGACTGTATCGCTGCCCCTCAGGCCTGATGGGGGGCAAGACGCTGCTGCCCCTGCCCCCGCGGGAGGCGGGGGGCTCCGAGACCAGCGCGCCGGGCCTGCACGGGTCCGGCGACCGGGGGGCCGCGCAGCCGTCGGCTGGCAGCAAGGACCGCGTCCACATGCTGGAGGGCGCGGTCATCACCTGGACCAAGCAGGTGCGCTACGTCCTCAAGCAGGAGCCGGAGACCGTGTTCAGGCGGGAGATGGGGCCGAGCGATAGGGGGGGATGGGGAGAGGGGGGGGGGTTACGAAGTCTGCTGCACGCAGCCGGTTTCGGCCCCGCCGCCGGGCCCGTTCCTCGATGCACGGGCGCCTCCCGGCGCCGGGAGGCGCCGGGAAAGTCAGCTACGTGAGCTGATCCTCTACCCTACCCTTTGCTATCCCCCCTTGTCGTCCCCCCCGAGAGGAGCACGAAGCACGGCAGGAGCATCACTTTCCATGGAGCTCCGCGCGGCTTCCTGGATCGGTGCCAGGCACCCCTGGCGGCGTGATCGGCGCCGCCCCGGGCGCGCTCCTCGGCGTCAATGGGGTCCACCTGGCGGGGCCAGGGCAGGGACGGCTCGTTCCAGAGCGTCCTGGAACACCCTCGGAGCGTGCCAGAACGCTCAGCGCAGGCTGCGGCGCCCGGTACATTTCAGGAGGGGGAGAAAGCACACAGACACAACTGATCGTCGCTTCCCCAGAAAGTATGGATGGGAAAATAGGGGAAGTGGGGGGGGAAAACGACAACGCAGAGAACATGGGAGAATATGGGGAATCCTGTCATTTGTGTCTATTCATTTGTGTGTCCCTGGGCCCCTTCAACATGCTCTAGAACCGCCAGATCTCAGAGATTTCCGATTCATCCCCGTCCGACTTTTGCCTTGTCCTGGCCTGGTCCAAGTCCAGCGTCGATCCAAGAAGCGTGCGCGGACCTCCGACGAAGTTTACCATTAAGCCAGGCCTGTCCCTCTACGGGGGGAATCTTCACAAATAGTTCAAGAAATTAGTCTGGGGACGATTCGCGGACCATTTTGGAGGATTTTTGAATACGGTTTGACTATTTTTTGATTTTCTTCTGAAATCCGCCTGTATGGGGGACATGCCCGACCTAAATTTACGTCTATGCGCCGTCTTTTTCCCTTGCCCGCCAGGGGCGGCCAGAACCCCGAGCCGGTCGCGGAGCTCACCTTCTGGAAGAGCCGGGCGGATAACCTGAACGGGATCTACTCGCAGCTGTGGGTGGACGGGGTGCGGCGGGTGCTGAAGTACCTGGAGGCGCAGAGGAGCATATATGTCGCCCCCTTCACGCGCCTGCAGAAGGAGGTCGAGGAGGCCCGGGACGAGGCCAACGAGAACGTGAGATTCCTGAAGACGCTGGAGAAGCCCTTTCAGGCCCTCATGAGCGAGAAGGCAGACTTCCCGACCCTAGACACCATGTTCGACGGGATTTTCCACATCATCGTGCTGATCTGGAAGTACTCCAAGTTCTACAACACCGTGGCGCGGCTGGCCGTGCTGATCCGCCAGATCTGCAACTCCGTGATCGTCCAGGCGCAGCGCTACATAGGCCAGAACGCCATCTTCGAGATGATCCAGAACAGCGGGGACGCGGCCGAGTGCTTCGACATGATAGAGACGGTGATCCACGTGTGCAGCCAGCTCGAGGAGAGCTACAGGGTGCACGCAGCCCTCGCGGAGGCTCAGGGCGGCGGCGGCTGGAAGATGAAGAGCAGCGTGATCTTCTCGCGCCTGGACGCATTTCGCGAGCGGTGCACCGACAGCCTGGAGCTCACCAGGATAGTCTTGCAGTACAACAAGCTGGAGAGGGTCAGCATCGGGGGCACGAAAGGCAACATGCTTTCCATGTGCGTGGAGAAGATCCGCGAGGAGTTCGAGGACGCTGTCAACACCTTCCGCCAGGTCAAGTACGACATCATGGACGGCGCCCGCCCCATCTCCCCTCTCCCTCCTCCCCCCTTCTCCTTCCTCCCTCCTCCCCAATCCCCTCATCCTCTTTCTCTTCTTCTCCTTCTTCTTCTTCTTCTTCTTCTTCTTCTTCTTCTTCTTCTCCCCCCCTTCCCCCCTCCCCCCTCCCTCCTCCCCCCTCCCTCCTGCTCCGTCTTCCTTCTCCCTCCCCCTCCTCGCTCGCTGCGCCGCATGGCACGGTCTCCTGATCTTCGCCATCCGCACCCCTCCCCCGCGCTTTGGGCGTCGTGCCGCTCGGGGGGGAAGCGCCCTGGCAGGTACCCCTGGGGCTGGCCAGGGACGCGTCCTGGCAGGCACTGTTGGGCGCCCCAGGGAAGCGCCCAGGCCTGCACCTTCGGGCCGCCCAGGGACGCGCCCTGGCAGGTACTGTCGGGCGCCTCAGGGACTGCCTCACCTGGTGGTGTCCGCGGTCGGCGCTGCGGAGGCGCGCCCCGCCGCGGCTGGCAGCTGCGTGCCGCGCGCAGCGTGCGCGGGGCCGACGCCCGCGTGCGGCCGAGCATCTCGCGTGCCATGGTGAGCGGCAGCTCGGCCAGCCGCTGGCCCTGGCGGTGGCGCTCGCGCGGTGGGGGGGGCGGCACCTGGGGGGGCCTCGTGTGGCACTGAGGGGCCCAAAAGAGGTACGAAAGGTGCACGTCCAGGCCGCCACCTCCGCCGCCGCTGGCGCCTCCACCACCGCTTCGCCGCTTCGCCGCCGCCGCCGCCGCCACCGCCGCCGTCGCCGCCGCCGCCGCCGCCGTCGTCGTCGTCGTCGTCGTCGTCGTCGTCGTCGTCGGCGGCGGCGGCGGCGGCGGCGGCGGCGGCGGCGGCCTCGGCGGCGGTGGCGGTGTCGTCGTCGTTGCCCCCTCCCAGTTATCGCTCCCCCAGCTGAGCGACGCCCGAGGCGCTGGCGGAGGCGCCTCGGCCCTCTCGCCGCCAGGAGTCGGGGCCGTCGCGGAGGGCGCCGCCGCACCCAACGCCGGCGCGCGCACGAGGGACGGCAGGACGCTCGCGTTCACGGCTCACCAGCACCAGCACCGCTCAGAGGAGGAAAAGGTATGCATCGGTCGTTGAAGAAGCAGGTATTTTTGGAATCCCAGATTCCAGTCTATCTCAAGCGCCTTCCTGCTTCAATGATCGAGTGGCTTCACCTTTTCCGTTCTCCCGAGGGGGCGGACGGAACCCAATCTACTTTCAACGCTTTCCTACTTCATGTCTCTGCCTTCTTCTTCTGACCGGCGTGTACCCATACCGCTACCCTTGCCTCGTTGTTTTCTTTCTGGGCCTCATGGGAGGCCCTCGTCGCCACGGCTGGATTCGCCTCGAGGTCCTAGTCAGAGAGCGCACCCCGGGAGAGGTCCAGGGAGTAGCGGCATTGGTAGCTTTTGGTTTCCCCAGCCGCGGGGAGACCTGCGGCAGCCCAGCAGGTGTGCAAGCGCCGCCGGACTGTGCACCTCGTCTCCCACCAGTTCGCGCGTTGCCTCCGCCGCCGGTCCACGATGTCGTGTGGTGGCCCTGATGACCTTGGACCAGCTTCTTCTTCCTGGGTGGGGGGCCAGAGTGAGGCGGTCCTGCTTCTTTTCCACTCGGTGTTGCTCCTCCAGGTGCTGCTGGCGGTGTGCTTTCCGTCGGCCACTTTTGCCCGCGGGCTCCTGCGCCAGCCAGTCGTTCATGATCATCACGATGCCCATCCCGAAGCTCGCGGTGAAACCTTTGTTCCTGGCCGTACTTTTGCCCTGGCTCTTGCCACAGCTTGTCCTCGGGCCTCGGCACGCGAATGTGCATCCTTCAGGCGGGCCACCTTTTTTCATGTACGGTTTGCAGCCGCGGAAGTGGAGACGGGTCGAAAACGATTCAAGTGTCTTCACCGTGAAAGGCTGCAGATAGAGTGGCGTTCAGCCGCCGGCAGCCGTGGAGTGAATGCTGCCTTGCCCAGCCTGCCAGCTTCTTCTCTGGAGCATTCCAGCTCTCTTGAGGAGCTATCGGGGGGAACAACGGGGTAGCAGAGCAGCTTGAGGCGGGCGCGTCCGAGAAAGAGAGAGCGGCTGCTCCGCTGCTTGAGACCACCGATGATTCGCTCAGGTTGAGTCCAGTGTCGGCCTATACTTTTGGGTCTTGAGTGGCCGCCCTCAGTGGGCGAATTCGCTTGCAAGCAGCAGGCGGGTCTCGGTCGAGGCCAGCGTTCAGTCGGGCAAGTCCTTCTACATCAGGAGTGTTCAAGCATAGTGAAACATATGATGGTGACGACTGTTCGTGCCCTTTTGACTATTGTTGATAACTTCCCGACCGTTTTGTATTTTCCAAAACCCGCCTGAAGGAGGACTGACATGCCCGACCTTGAGGCCAGCGGGCCACGGGGGTGTCGGAAGTGACGCAGGGTGAAGGACACCCGAGTCGCCACCCGCGGCGCCCGTCGCCCGCAGCAGGCAGAAGCCAGGTCCGCCTCTGGGCGCTTGTGTTGCCTTGTCCTCCTTCTCCTCCTTCTCCTCCTCGTCTTCCTCCTCCCTCCTCCCTCCCTCCTCCTCCCTCCTCGCTCCTCCTCCCTCCTCCCCCCCTCCGCTTCCTCCTCGATTCACTCCCCCTCCTCCATCCTCCCTCCTCCCTCCCTCCGCCTCCTCCTCGTTTTACTCCCCTTCCTCCCTCCTCCCTCCTCCCTCCCTCCGCCTTTTCCTTGTTTTTCTGCCCCTCCTCCAGCCTCCTCCCTCCTCCCCCCCTCCCTCCCTCCCTCCTCCTCCTCCTCCTCCTCCTCCCTCCGTCCTCCCCCCTTCCCCCCCACCCCTCCTTTCTCCTTCATCCTCCTCCCTCTTCCTTGCTCCATCCCTCCCTCCCTCCTCCCCACCTCCTCCTGGGAGGACGTGAACGAGACCGCCTTCGCCGACGACTTCTGCGCCTTCCGGATGGCCATCAGGGACGCCGCCCGCGACGGGGCCAGCCTCGCTCCTCCCCGTCGGAGACGTCTCCGACGTCGCAGTGCTTCTGTCCGCTTCCGTCCTCGCTCGCACGTGGCAACATTTGCCCAGGAGGAAGGTCCCGGAGTCTGGTCCTCCTAGATGGGGTCCGAGTGGACGGGGTCGGAGGATCGCGCCGCATCGCCGATGCACCGACGATTCGGCTCGATGTGGAGCCCGTGTTTTCCCCACACCCACGTCGCCGATGCATCGCCAACGTCGCCGATGCGTCGCCGATGCATCGCCGATGCATCGCCGATGCATCGCCGATACATCGGCGATGCATTGGCGATGCGGCGCGATCCTTCGACCCCATCTACTCGGACCCCATTTAGGAGGCCTCTATGGAGGCCTCGCGTGTCGCGCATCAGTCGTATCGTCTTGTCCCTTCTTTCTCCTTGTCCTCCCCCTCCTCTTCGTCGTTCTTCTTCAGGTCCTGGTGGCTTTTTTGGGACGCACTGCACGGTGTCAGCTGCGACCGCTTAGATTGCCACTGCGTTGCTCCCATCGTGGTCTTGGTCGCGCTATTGGGAAAGCCCTCCTGAGGGGCAGCGGGTTTTTGGTGCCCGAGAGGGAACAACAAGTGGTATCATCTTGTCCGCACGTCCTGTCAGGAAGGTACGGGCCGACGAACGCGGCGATGCTCCAGCGTAAGTCCGAAGTAAATTCGACGTGAGTTGAGTCTCAAGTTGCTGCGTGTGGCCTCCAGGACTTTCCTCCTAAGATTGCCCCTTTTGCCCTCGCCTGGGATGCGTGACCCTGTCTAGCGCGCCTTCACGCTCCGCTGCCTGCGGTCGCAGCCGCGCATGGCTGAAGCGTGCCTCCTTGGACACACGCCCCCCGCAGCTCGACGTGCAGGGACCTCCCCACCAAACGTCGTGTGCAGGGAGCGCAAACCTGGAGATCGAGGCGCGCGAGTGCGCGACAGGGGGCCCGTTGCCGCACCGCGCCGGCGCGCTCCGCGTGCTCCGCGTGCTGGGAAGTGCGCTCCCCGGTCTGGGGATCCTGCGCCCGCGCGCCGGATCCGCGGCTGTCTCTGCTCCACGTCAGCGTGCGCCCTTGCCGACGCCGCGGCCTCTGCGGCCCCCGGCGGCTTCCAGGATTTCGGGCACTCGGGAGCCTCGAGACGGGGGTCAAGGCAGATGGGGGTCAGCCAGAGTGCCCGACCTTGCAGGATCCTGCAGTGCCAGGGCTGCAGGATCCTGCAAGGCCTGACTGACCCGGGCTTGCATTGACCTGGGTCAGTGGATCCCCGAGGCATCCTGGGGCTGCCTCTCGGACCCAGGGGCCATCTTCGGGAGCCCCCGAGCGGTGTGGTGACCACACCGCGTGGTGAGTCTCCAGCGACTGGGGCCTCCGAGGTCCCAAAAGCGTGCGGTGACGGACCGCGCAATGAGGTCGTTGGGGATTCCGAGGTCACCATTCGGCCGTTGATCACATGGCTTTGGGCCCTCGAGGCGTTCCAGAGTTCGAGGGGGCCAGAGTTCGATGGGGTCGGAAGATCGCGCCGTATCGCTAATGCACCGACGACTCGGCTCGATGTGCCGCCCGACGGACTCCGCGCCGACGTCACCGATGCCGTCACCACACGGTCGTGGGTTGGGTCGGGCATGTCCCCTTACAGGCGGATGTTGGAGGAAAAAATAGAAATATCCAACAACTATTCAAACATAGTCAAGATTAGACGAAGCATCGTCCCGAGACTATTCGTTGACAATTTTTGAATATTCCCCCTGTAGAAAGATAGGCCAAACGTAAGTCTTGGGGCTCTGGACATCCAAGGACGACCCGCGTAGGCAGAGCCGGCCGAGCGGGATGCGAGGGAGCCGAAGCAGCCACGGCGGCGCGGGCCTGACACACCGCGATGGCCCTCGGGGCGTTCGGGGTCCTCCTCCTCCTCCTCCTCCTCCTCCTCCTCCTCCTCTCGCCCTCCTCCTCCTCCTCCTCCTCCTCCTCCTCCTCCTCTCGTCCTCCTCCTCCTCCTCTTCCTCCTTCTCCTCATCCTCCTCCTTCTCCTCCCCTCGTCCTCCTCCTCCTCCTCCTTCTCCTCCTCCTCCTCCTCCTCCTCCTCCTCCTCCTCTCTCCTCCTCCTCCTCCTCCTCTTCCTCTCTCCTCCTCCTCCTCCTCCGCTCCTCCTCCTCCTCCTCCTCCTCTCTCCTCCTCTCTCCTCTCCTCTCTCCTTCTCCTCCTCCTCCTCCTCCTCTCCTCCTCCTCCTCCTCCTCCTCTCCTCCTCCTCCTCCTCCTCCTCCTCCTCCTCCTCCTCCTCCTCCTCCTCCTCCTCCTCCTCCTCCTCCTCCTCCTCCCCCCCCTCCTCCTCCTCCTCCTCCCAGCTCTTGCTCGGGGCCCCCCCCGACGGTTTGAGCCCCGAGGTGCTCTCCAAGGGCTTTTGCCTCCGGCCCTTCCCGCCGCTCGCTCGCCCGGCGCCTGACCTTTTTTTGTTTGCATCTCTGCGCCCGCTGGCTGAAAAATTCTCCCTGGGCTGTGCCTCGTCGGGGAGGAAACAACGGCACTCGAAGAATATCCACAAAAACATAAACTTGGATCGGCGCTGGCCCCCCCCGGCGGCGCCTCCGGCGCTGCCCCTGGCGCGCTCCGCTCGCCAGGGAGGGGGGTCCAGCTCGAATCCAAGAAATCCGCGCGGAGTGCCCAAAGTTTATGCTCGTGGGTGGCTTTCTCTTCTTCCAGGCCTGGACCTACACTTCGGACCTCAGGAGGTCTATATTCATGTTGTTTCTGATCCCTCTCCTCCTCCTTTTTTTCCTCCTTCTCCTTTTCCTTCTCCTCCTCCTCCTCCTCCTTCTTCCCCTCCTCTCTCCTCCTCTCTCCCCCTCGTCCTCCTCCTCCTCCTCCTCCTCCTCCTCCTCCTCCTCCTCCTCCTCTCTCCTCCTCCTCCTCCTCCTTCCTCCTCCTCCTCTCCTCCTCTCCTCCTCCTCTCCTCCTCCTCCTCTTCCTCCTCCTCCTCCTCCTCCTCCTCCTCCTCCTCCTCCTCCTCCTCCCTCCTCCTCCTCCTCCTCCTCCTCCTCCTCCCCCTCCTCCTCCTCGAGCTTCGTCGAGGGCCTTCCGGAAGCCCAGAGTCGTCCCGGACGGCAGCCCGAGGTCCGAGCCATGGCCCGAGCCAGCAGGCGGAGGGGGGCTCGTGTTGCTGCACGGGCCAGCCTGTCCCACGGGCTCGGGCTCGGGCTCGGGGTCGGGCTCGAGCTCGGGCTCAGGCTCGTGCTCGGGCTCGGGTTCGGCATCGGCGATGGGCCCCTCTTGGCCCCCGTGTCGCCGCCCTTCCGTCTTCCCCCCCGACTCGCGGATCGATCTGGCTCCAGGCGTGTTGCGTAAAGATGGGGTCGTGGACCCTGGCCGTGCTGTTTCTTCTGCGCAGCGACCCATCCCGCCACCGTGTCTGGGGGGAGATTGGCAGCCTTGGGCGCCCGAGGCTGCCCATACCCACTGCCTCCAGAGGTTCCAAGACATCGGCTATCCTGGCGGTGGACAATCGGGGGCCCCCCGAACGGTGTGGTGACCACACCGTGTGGTGAGTCAGTGGGGATTCGGGGTGACCGCACGCTTTTGGAACTTGTGTCATCCTCCTCGGATTTCTCGGACAATCTGGGCCTCCGAGGTCCCAAAATAGTGCGGCGAGGGACCGTGTATTGAGGTCTTTGCGGACTTGGAGGTCGCCGCACGGTCTGTCACCGCACCGTTCTCTGAGACCCCCAAAGACAAGTACGGTAGGTTCGCGTCGTGTCCAGTCGCAGCGACCCCGCCGCGAGCGTTCAAGGCTGAGCGCCGCCAGTGGCCGAGCATCGGCCAAAATTGAGCGGTCTTGCGATCGGGAAGCCGCCGATCGTTCCAGGTCGAACGGGCCGCACGGGGCGTCAGACACCAACGCACAGGTCGTCGCGACACGAGCCCGCCGCGCAGGTGCTGGCCTCGACCAAACGTGGGCCGCGAGAGCCGTCTAGGGAGCAGCCCGCCTGGCCGTGCAAGCGTCGGGCCGTGCCGGCCGCGGCCCCCGCCGTCGGCAGGACCTGGACCAGCGCCTGGCGAGCCTCCTCTTCGCCGGCTTCGACGACCTCGACACCACGCAGGGCACGCCCGGGGAGGGAAGCGGGCCCCGTGGGGAACCCAGGTCTCCGAAGAGATGACCTTTTGACCGCTGTCTGTTTTCCGCTTGGGGCCTCCGCGGCCCGTCATCGGGCCCCCGGGCCATCAGAAAGGGGGCCGGGGCGAAAGGCTGCCCTGGGGAAGCGGTCGGGACCTCGTCGGTCGCGGCTTGAAAAAGTCAGATCGGCAGATAATATGGGCATGGGTCCTGAGGCAAACGGGTCCTAGACCCTGGGAGCTCTCACGAGGGCCAGCTCTTCATCTTGGGTAGTTCTCTTACTGTCCTGGGGCCTGGGGAGGGCCGCCAAAAAGCGGCGGAAAACTTCCGGGACCACGTTCCTTCATGGCCCGCTGCCTTAACGCTGAGGGCCCGAGCCTTACCGCCGCCGACAATCGAGTTCGGCAGGTGTAGAGGTCCACCAGTCGGGGTTTGCTTCGGTCCACTGCCCTGCCCCCCCCGCGGGTTGGGACCAGAAGGGGCTGGGTTCGCGTGTGGCTGCCTTGGGCGGAGGGGTCGAGGACCGAGAGAGCGGTTAGTGGATGGATTCGAGGCCCCTTGGAACCTTGCCTCGTGGGCTGGGCGCGGTCCAGAGACTGGCGGGGCCGTTGTCTAGGAGGAGTCCCGAGTCGCCCCAGGGGCGCGAAGAATGTACGCGCTCGTCGCGCGTCGCGTCTTGTGCCAGAGAGCTGCCCGCTCTGCATGGCGGCGGCGCGTGCGCGCGAGGGTGCGACGATGATCGCGCGTCTCACATTGTGGGGCGCGATGTACGAAGTTTGGCGACCTAGAGTCCAGGGAGTGATTCTGATCGAGAACGGATGGCGGGACCCAAACCTACGGGCGTCGCGAAGAAATCACGACGGCCGGTTTCATTGGGCTTTGGGCGTCGGGTTGCTGTCTTCGGGCCCTGGGACGATCAAAATATGGCCCGCGACGGAACGCCTGCCCTGGGGATGGGGTCGAGAGTTCGGGACCCACGTCAGAAAAGCATGACTCGGGAGGTCTAGAAACCACAGCCGATTTGGCCCAGGTGTATCCGGCCGAACGAAAGGGGGGGATTGGGAAAGGGGAGGTTACGAAATCTGCTGCATGCAGCTGGTTTCGGCCCCACCGAGGGGCCCATTCCTCGATACATAGCCGCCTCCGGCGCCAGGAGGCGCCGGGAAAATCAGCTACGTGAGCTGATTTCCCTCCCCCCTTTGCTATCCCCCCCTTTCGCCCGGCCCGAGTGTAACAGCCTTGAACCGTCGCTGGCATCCCGTGGGTGATTACCGTGCTTCGCATGAAGGTCATGCCGACCTTCGTTTTTGAAGGCGAGGTCGTCGAAAAGCTTAACTGCAATGTGTGCCAGTCAGTTTATGATAGCGACCCCCGGGTATGACCTACGACGAGCTCTTCCTTCGAGATGACGGGACGATGGCTGTGGTATGACAGAGCGGCGCTTGTCGGACTCCCGCAAGGCATCCGCAGCTGCGTTCCACACGGATGCTTTAGCTGTGTTCTGTCCGACATAAGAGGGTGTAACCGCCTCGTTTCGACGAGGCAGGGGCAGCCCTGCATGCCACTGGAACGGTAATCAGAGCAACATGCGCACGACGATGCCGAGCGCGGCCGCTCGGAGGCAGGGGGGCACTGACCCCGTGGGCAGGTCGGCCAAAGTCTTGGCCGCTGCCTGGAAGAGGCCGATCCTCTATCCGTATCCGCGCCCTCGCGGTCTGGATTCAGGGGGGCCATCCCGTGGATGCGCGGACTCACGGGCACGTTCCGCGCGGGGCGTCCGTGGGGTCGCGGCCCAGGGGCCTGGGCCCCGAGGCCGCGGGTACTGATTTGTTTCCCGCCCACGAGCGACACAACACATTCAAACAGATTGTCCCTGGGCTACGGCGGTCGCAGGGCTGTCGTCTCCACGAGGAGGGCGCTCCAGCAACAACTGGAGAGGCATCATTTCTTCCTTTTACGGGTGCTTGCCCAATCCAGGTCAATTTCCTGACATGTCGGGGAAGTATTGCCGCAATCAGATCGCCACTGCGATTCAAGAGGCTAAACCACAAAAGCATTTATATCGTCGTAGCAGGCTCGAGCCTAGCCAATGTTGGCCCCTCGTCATTTCCAATGTATTTGGCGTTTTTTCGCGGGTTTCCTGGCAGTAATGGTTCCACGTGGTCACGTGGCTTCGTCGGATTTGACCGTCAGGGCAAGGCTGAATTTCGTAATTTGACACGCTGAGGTGATTGCGCAAACACCTGGAAGGATGTAGAGGTGCCTTACAGACGCGACTACGGTATTCCATTAGGCGACGCTTTGGAACAGGCGCGCGGGAGGTTTACTGAGCAGTTTTCACGACTCAAAGTCGTTGTGGAATGTGAATCCCACGAGGCGACGTTTCAGAGGACATCGGCTGCGGCTGCCAACCCCCTATAAACCATGGTGATGTCGTTCTTGTCTAGGTCCGAAGCACTGGCTGACAGCCGCAGGCCACCAGTCGTAGCCGAGTAGTCACCTGAAGAGTGTGGACAAGTGTAGAGCAGGCGGCCTTCAGCAAGAGGTAGAGTGTAGAGCATAGGTAGAGTAGGAGGAGAAGGAGGAGGAGGAGGAGGAGGAGGAGGATGAGGGCGCCACCTCCTCTTTTCCCCTGCCTCGTCCGCCCTCCTGCTCTTGCTCCGACCCTGAGCCACACCAGCGTGGGTCCGCGGCCCCCAAGATGCTCCGACCGCTCCCCGGGGGGGGCAGCCTTTCGCCCTGGATCCATTCTTGCAGGATCCGGTGCCTCGCACATTCTCGGGGGCAACGGTAGGGGGGGAGAGGCATAGGGGGGGATGCATCGACCCCCCAATCGCCCATTGATCGCCGATAGGGGCCGATAGCCCGATAGCCCCAACCCGCCCAGGAAGGCTCGGATTCGCTGTCAGGGGCCTATCGCCGATCTGTCGGCGATGTATCGCCGATTCCAGGTCGATGCATCCTCCCTGTGCCTATCCCCCCCTATCGTTGCCCCTCACATTAGCCCCACGTGGCCGAAAGCGAGGAACGACCGACGGGGTCGAGGACATCAGCTGACCCGAGGTTTGGGCTCGCACCGCCACCGCGCGCTCCAGACATCGTGGGGCCTGTCCTTCGGGACGATCGTGGTGGGCAGCTGCTGCTCCTCTGAAGCAGGGCTCGCTGTCGCCGTCGCCGCGGCGGCGTGGTCCACTCGAGACAGGAGGCCGCCTGCCCAACCGCGGCCGCTGCCGGTTTTGGACCGCACCTCTCGTGGGGCCTCGCAGCTGTGTTTTTCCGTGCCCCTTGCCGCCGATTTCTGCCCATCCTTTCGCCGATCGGCGCCGGGCCCCGCCCAATCCCCCCCTCCCACCCCTCGCACAGACCAGACATGGGCTGCTCTTGGCGGCTGCTTCCGGCGACAGGTCAGGGCCCCAACTTGCCCCGGTCCGCTTGCGCGACGGGCGAGAGCAGATCGACCGAGCTTTGGCCCCGACCCAGACCCCCCACCCCTCCCCTGCCATTCGGCCAAGTGTCGAAACCCCAGACCCAGACCCCCCTCCCACCCCCCCCTACCATTCGGCCAGGTGCCGAACCCCCCAAATATGGAAACAAAAACGCTTGCATTTCGGGCGTCCAGAGCCCCGAGCCACTCGCACCGCCCCCCTCCCCTTCCTTCCGGCCGAGTGTCGAACCCCCCCAATGTGGAAAAAAAAGCGCTTGCACCCCGGGCGTCCAGAGCCTCGGGCCACTCGCCCCAGGCCCGCCCCGGGCCCCCGCCGCGCCCCTCCCGGCGGCGAGTCGCCCGCCGCTGAGCGCCCGGCGCTGAGCGCCTCTCGGCCGGCCCTCCCCTTCGGAGAGTCTCCCCCCGGGCGCGGCGCCGAGAGCTGAGAGGGTCAGGGAGGGCTTCCCAGAGGGTTTTTTGTTCGGGGAGGGGCTTTTCGGGGAGGGAGGTTTTTCGAGAGTCGAAAGTCGAGGGGGTTTTCGGGGAGGGGCTTTTCCAGAGAGCCCCCCCAGGGGCCTTGGGAATCTCGTCAAAACAGGGGTGTGAAGCCCCTGGGGGACCCCTCCTGGAAAACCCCCTCCCCAGAACCCACCTTTGGAACCCTCCGGGAGAGGGCCAGGAGGCGGAGGAGGGCGCGTCGACGCCGCTTTTTGGCGGCGAGCGATGTGGGGAAGTGAGAAGGAGATGGCCTTCTGAGAAGGCGGCGGGCCTATTCAAAAGGCCTCCGGCCTTCTGAGGGGTTGATTGTGTCTTCGGGGAAGGCTTCGAAGACCTCAGAGAAGGCCGGGGGGCTTCCGAGCCTTCCAGGAAGGCCTTCTCCTTCCCATTTCCTCTCCGGGCTCGCCGCCGAGTCGGGAGACGGAGGAAGGCGCGTCGATGCCGCCCTTCTCCTCCGGTCCTCCTGTGGGATGCTGATCCCGTCGGCCTCGTAGGCCGCCCGCCCGCTGCGGGGGCGGCGTGCCCAAGCGCGCAGACCGCGGGCGATTCGGCTCCTCGGCAGGGAGGCGCGGAGGCGGAAGTCGGCGAGGAGGTGATGGCGGGGCTTCCGCCCGGCAGGACGCATCAAGCTCTTCGACGCCTTCGAGGCCAGCCGTCGCACGCCGCGTCCCGCGTGCCCGCGCCCAGTCCCCAGGAGGAGGAGCGAGCGGCAGGAGGAGGAGGGAGGGAGGGAGGGAGGGAGGGAGGGAGGAGGGAGGAGGGAGGAGGAGGAGGAGGAGGAGGATCGAGGTTCGAGGATACGAGGGTCGAGGCTGCAGTTGCCGTTCTTGTGGTGCGCACGCTCCAGGCACTCTTCGAGCCTTCAGGGGGCCCCGCGTCGCCACGGGTGGGTCCGTCTCCAAGACATGGTCGAAGCGCACACCCCTGCAGCGGTCCAGGAGGCGACATTTGAGGAGGATGCCGTGCTGCGTGGAGAAAGGCATGATGGCTGCTCTGCTCATCGTAGGCTGGGCGGCTGCTGGGCGTCCACCTCTTGGTGCTGCTCGTCCACCTCCTGTCCTCCACCTCGCTCCGCTCTTGAGTCTTCCTCCGCCCCTCCTATCCTGCTCCCCCTCCCTCCTCCCCACATCTTCGCCCACTCCCCCTCCTCCTCCTTCTCCTTCTCCTCCTCACTTCTCATTCCTCCTCCCTACATGCGTGTTTTCTCGTGTATCTCTCTGTTTCCTAGTCCTCCTCCCCATTGATCCTCATGCTCTTCCCTCCTCCCCTCCCTCCTCGCTCCTCCCTCCCGCCTACTTCTTCCTTGCTTCTCTCTCATGCCTCCTCCCGCCTCCCACCTCCAGCCGTTTCACCTGAGACTTCCTCGCCGTTTATGACTCCGAAGCTTGAAACTGCTATCAGTCGCCCGGATAGACGTGGGGGGATGGTTTTCAGAAGGTGTTCCCCGCATCAGCGCCGTGCACATTCGTTTCACATGTTTTCAACCGGCACACGGATGGAGCACAAGGCGTTTTTAATATGTGGCTCTCGCATTAGTGTTGCGCACGTTCGTGTTGAGAGTTTCCAGCAGCTACTCGGTTACATTTCGTTTTTGCGTGTGTGTGTGGTTTTATTGTTTTTGCTATTTGGTGTTCGTTGGTTCGTTCGTGCTTCCAGGCTTGCGTTGCGACCAGGTAAGAATATTCTTCGTGCTGCTGTGACAATGGGTTCAACGTAATTGGCACAGTGGGTTCAACGAAAGCGGAGTTCGAGGCTCGTCTGACCGCGAGATTTGCGAAGCTCTCAAGTTTGCTGCCGTTGGTGTTCAAGAAGGATTCGTCCGAGGCTGGACGCCTCCGCCTCCCCGAAACCACTGTATCAACGATTGAGGGTGCCTCACAATAAAACAAACACGGAAGCTGCGGAGCACGCAGCGCCACATTTTGACGGATGGTGTTCCCAGAAGACGTGCCGATGAAATTACGTGAATTGGAGCAGGCGGGCCACAAAGATCGCCGAGGTCAAGGCAAGAAGGGCCAACGTGTTGTGCTGTGCCGAAGATGTCTTGCAAGCGCAGTGGGGACGGGCGTGGAAGATTACCCACAGGCTTGTCGACAGGTGGGCGAGACGGGTAACAACGCGGAGAAACAACGCCTGGTAGAAAACGCAGTCAAAACAGAATTTGTTTTGCCCAGCCCGCTTAAATCGGGGACGCGCTGTCAGGTGGGAGGACGATCAGGTTGACTTCGCCGCGGAGAGATGTCGACCGTGGTTCGAAATGGTTACGCACCCGGACGTATGTGGCGCCCGCGGACGAGAATAGGTGATGCGCACGAAGCGGCGAGTCCAGTAGTCTTTGGCCACAGGTCCTTTCCAGGGCCCGCGGTCCTGCAACGGTGCGCCCGCCGACCCTGCGGCCGCCCTCTCTAGACCGGCGACGGCAGGCTGCGCTCGCAACAGCTCAACGGATGGGAGGGGTGGTGGTTTTCAAAACGCGGGTCTCGCCTCATCGCCGCGCGCATCGGTTTTAGAAGTCCCCAGCAGTAACGTGGACGGGGCACGGGTCGTTGTCAGAGTCTGCCTCTCGCCTTGGCGCCGTGCACGTTTGTCTGCACAGTTTCCATCAATTGCACGGATGGAGGGCGGCTCCTTTTCCAGATGTGGCTTCCGCCGATGTGCCGTTCACAATCGTCTGAAAGAGGTACCAACGGTGAAACGGATGCCACACAGGTCGTCTTCAAAAGGTGGCTCTCGCCGTAGCGCCGTGCGCACCCGTCTTATTTCGAATAGCTACACTGGAGGGCGGAAAAGGATTCAAGACAGGTTTTTCAGGAGGATTCATTTAGGCTTGTGACCAGACTACGAGTCCCTTATTGCACGCACGGGTGATGGTGGCTTTTCAAGTCGTGGCTTGTGCTCGAGACATCCTTGGGGTTTGTGGCCATGTTGTGAGTTTTGGAAAGTTTTCACGGATTGAGGGCGGCCGTTTTTCAGAGTGCATTTCTCGTTTGCATTTTGTTTGGAATTTCTGATTCTACCTCGTCGCCGTGCTGATGTCTACAAGCACGGATGGCAACCTTTTTTCAAAATGAGGGCCTCGCTTGAATTCTAAGGCCATGGGGCGCTCGTCTTTCATGGGGGCATTTCCCGCAGTGAACTGAAATTCCTGTGAGGACCTATGAGAAGAGGGAATCTGGACGGGTGGGCGTCATGCAGCATCGCTGACGCATCTCGGGTTTTACTCGGGCGCCTCCTCCTCCTTTTCCTTCCCCCTCACCTTCTCTCCTCATGCCTCCTCTTTCTCCTTCTCCTTCTCCCCTCGCCTTGTCTCCTCGTCCTTCCTCTTTCCTCCTCTCCCCCCCGCTTCCTCTTCGCTCTTCCCCTTCCAGCGACGATGACAGCGCTGACGATGGCGACGTTGGCTTTTCGGCCGTGCGCAGCGTCCCAGGGCCTGCTCGAGCGCCGGGTGATACAGGCCGAGCTGGAGCGGAAACAGAAGGCCGTCTCCGCTGCCGCCGCCGCCGCCGCCGTCGGCTGCCGCCGCCGCCGCTGCTGTCGTTGTCGCCGCCGTCGTCGTCTTCTCCTTCGTCGTCGTCTTCGTCGTTGTCGTCGCCGTCGTGGTTCGTTGTCGCCCTTGTCGTCCTCGTCGTCCGTCATCGGTCGTCGTCATCGTCATCGTCATTGTTCGGTTTGTCTTCGTCGTTGTCGTCGTCGTCTTCGTCGTCGTCGTCGTCATCGTCCGTCGTTATCCGTCGTCGTCGTCGTCGCCATCGTCGCCGTCTTCCGTCGACTTCCGTGGTCGCTGTCTTTCTCTTCCGTCGTCGTCCGTCGTTGTCCATCGTCGTCCTTCGTCGTCGTCGTCGTCCGTCGTCGTCGTCGTCGTCGTCGTCGTTTTCGTCGTCGTTATCGTCGTCGTCATCCTTCGTCGTCGTCGTCGTTGTCGGACGTTGTCGTCCGTCGTCGTCGTCCGTCGTCGTCGTCGTCGTCGTCGTCGTCGTCGTCCGTCGTCGTCGTCGTCGTCGTCGTCGTCGTCCGTCCGTCCGTCCGTCCGTCCGTCCGTCCGTCCGTCCGTCCGTCCATCCGTCCGTCAGTCGTCGTTGTCGGTGGTTTTTTGACGGTCTTGGGGCCCGGGGAGGAATCCCAGAGGCGGGCGGACGTTTACGGGCGTTGTCCGTCGTTCTCCGGCGTTGTCCGTCGTGCTCCTGTGGCACGACGCGGGGATGCGGGGGCTCGGGCGCGCCAAGGTCCTCCTGGACCAGTACCACCGGGACCTCATCGCCGTCCGCGCCCTCTTCGCGCGGCACCGCAGCGGGGTGGACAGCTTCGGCGAAGGCACAGCCGCGCGCGCCCCTGGCTGACGACCGGGCGCCCTTGGGCGTCTCTGGGGATCGAGGATCGAGATCCGAAGCCCGAGGTTCTCGGACGGCTTAGGATTTTTCTTGGTGGGTCCTTGGCATGCTCTTCGCCACCACGGCTAGATTCCCTTCGATGTTTTTGTCAGTGCGCACCCCTGGAGAGATCCAGGATTCGATTCTCGATCCTTGAGGAAAGGGGGAGACAATACTGATAATATGACGAATAAGAAAGTATCAATAATATGAATAATAAAAACATTATCACGAAACATCGTGATAATGAGAGGAAGGCATCAACAACTGCAACCACCACTAACATCAATGACAATGCTGATGCTAATGGTACTAATAAACATAACACTACTACCAATCGTATTATTAGTATGGTCGGTATTATTTTTACTGACAGTGAGAAGAGGAAGAGGAGGCGCAGGAGGCGCAGGTGGAAGCGGAGGCGGAGGCGGGGGCGGATACGGAGGCGGAGGCGGAGGCGGAAGGAGGAGGAGGAGGAGGAGGAGGAGGAGGAGGAGGAGGAGGAGGAGGAGGAGGCGGAGGCGGAGGCGGAGGCGGAGGCGGAGGGAGGGGGATGAGGAGGATGAGAAAACTGACGATGCCGTTCACGACGTCCAGGCCCCGAGGTGCCGAGGTTCTTTGAATCTAGAAGCCGTGCGACGTGCTTCTGGGACCAGGCAGAGCCCTTGGTCTCAGTCGCATTCGCAGCTCGAGAGCTCTTCGTTCTCATCGTGCTCCTCCCCCTGCTCCTCCTCGATCCTCCTCGCCCCTCCTCCTCCTCCACCACCTCCCTCCTCCTCCTCCTCCTCCTCTCATTCTCCTGTTTCCCTCACTTCTCCTCTCTCCTCCCTTGTCCTCCCTCCTTCTTTCTCCTCCCTCCTCCCTCCTTCTCCCTCTTTCCTCCAATTCCCATCCTCCTGCCTCCTTGCCCCCCCCCCTTCTCCCTCACCCCTCCCTCTTGCCTCCAACTGGCTCCTCTCCCTCCTCCCCCCCTCCTCCCTCCTCTTCTCATCCTCCCCTCTTCTCCTTCCTTCTCCAACTCACTCTCCTCCTTTTCCTCTCAAATCCTCTCCTCCTCGTCCTCCCCGTGCCTACTCCCCCGCCGCCCAGTTGCGCCCATCTTCGCCAACCTGCCCCCGGTGGCGGGCGCGATCTACTGGGCGAGGAGTGAATGGCCGGTGCGAGCTCCCTCCGGCTGGGGGGAGGATGAGGAGAAGGAGGAGGATAGAGGAGGGATGAGGAGGAGGATGAGAGGGGGAGGAGGAGGAGGAGGAGGAGGAGGAGGAGGAGGAGGAGGAGGAGGAGGAGGAGGTGGAGGTCGGTTGGTCGGCCGAGGACCTCGGGTGACTCAGTCAGCTGAGCTCGGCCAGGAGGGTTCACGCAGCTAAGTTAGCCTGGAGCATACTGCAAGGCCGATTCGGGGGCATCGGCCCAGAAGAAAACTCGACAACAGACGGGGGGGAGGCCAGTGGCCCCTGGTTCATTAAGCATGGGTCTGAAACGCAGGGCTGCCCCTGGGGAAGTGTTCGAGACCTCTCAGCACGGCAGATGGAGTAAACACGTCGTCGGATGCCATCGGGAGGAAAAGTGACGACGACGCCGTCGTCGCCATGATGTTTTTGAGTTTTTTCTGGAGGATCTCGTCACCACGGCTGTATGCAGCTCGGCCAGGATGGACCCGGGAAGGTAAACGAGGAGGGGGCCCATACCTCAGCGTTTTGAAAAAGACAAGACGGAGGTTTTCTGTCCTGTTCGGACTCTGGGGACCACCTGTGGTCTCCAGAGTGGACTCTGGGTTCTATGGACTCTGGTGACCACTTGGGGGTTACGTATTCGACTATCACGACGTCGGCGGTCTGCGTAGAGGAGGGACGAAGGTAGAGGATCGAGCGGTTTGGATGTTTCCAGACCTTTTGCGGCCTGTAGAGGTATCGGGGGAGCCGCCGGAATCCTTCTGGGACATCCCGAGACCTGCACGATGCTGCTGCTGCTGCTGATGATGATGATGATGATGCTACTGATAATAATGATGATGATGATGATGATGATGATGATGATGATGATGATGATGATGATGATGATGATGCTACTGATGATGATGATGATGACGATGATGATGATGATGACGGTGATGATGATGATGATGAGCAGGAGGAGGAGGATGAGATTGATGATGACGGTGCTGATAATGCTGCTGCTGATGATGATTGTGGTGATGATGATGCTGATGATGATAATGATGGTGGTGATGATGATGACGATGTTGCTGATTCTGATGATGATGATGACGATGATGATGACGATGATGACGATGATGATAATAAGGATAATGATGATGGTGATGATGATGATGATTATGATGATGATTATGATGATGCTGCTGATGATGACGATGATGCTGATGACTGGTGCTGACAACAATGCTGCTGCTCATCATGATGATGGCGATGATGATGGTGGTGACGACGATGATGATGATGCTGATGATGATGCTGCTGCTGATGATGATGAGGATGAGGATGAGGATTGGGATGACGATGACGATGATAATGACGATAACGATGATGATGATGATGATGATGATGATGATGCTGATGATGATGATGATGATGATGATGATGATGACGATGATGATGCTGATGATGATGATGATGACGATGATGACGATGATGACGATGATGACGATTGCGATGACGATGACGATGGTGATGATGATGATGATGATGATAATGCTGATGAGGATAATGATGATGATGCTGATGCTGATGATGATGATGATGATGATGATGATGATGATGATGATGATGACGATGTTGTTGATGATGCTGATGACGACGACGACGATGAGATTGGCGGCGACGGCGACGACGATGATGATGATGCTGATGATGGTGCTGCTGCTGCTGATGATGATGATGATGATGATGATGCTGATGCTGATGATGATGATGAGGAGGAGGAGTAGGAGGAGGAGGAGGAAGAGGAGGAGGACAAGGAGGAGGAAATGGGAGGAAGAGGGACGAGAGGGGCAGGAGGACCCCAGAATCCATCGCCGCCCTCAACGGATGAGATTGCTCGTGATGGTGGCGATGACGATGACGATGGTGATGCCTCGAATGCTGGTGATGAGGATGAAGATGGTGCTGGTTATGATGGTTGCGGTGTCTGTGACGACGCGGATGATCATTGTGATGTTTACAATGATGATCATGATTATTTTGATGACGATAGTGACGATGTTTGTTGAGATGGTGATGATGTTGATGACCATGATGCTGATGCTGATGCTCTTGATGACGACGACGATGATTTTGTGGATGATGATGCTGTTGCTGATGATTATGATGATGACATCGGCGCTGCTGCTGCTGATGATGATGGCGTTGATGATGACGATGATGGTGATGATGAAGATGATGCTGATGATGATGGGGATGCCGATGATGATGGCGATGACGATGTTGATGATGATGGTGACGATGATGATGATGATGCTGACCATGCTGGTGATGCTGATGACGATGATGATGATGATGCTCACGACGCTGACGATGCTGATGATGACGATGATGAGGATGATGACGACGATGATGATGATGCTGACGAGGATGATGATGATTATGATGATGATGACGATGATGACGACGATGACGATGCTGATGATTGTGCTGATGATGATGTTGTTAATGACGACGATGATGATTTTGATGATGATTACGACGATGATTTTGATGATTATCATGGCTATGATGATGATGATGATGATGATGATGATGATGATGAGGATCATGATGATGCCGATGCCGATGCCCATCATGATGGCATCCATTGTGACAGCGATGGCGATGGCGGCTGTGATGCTGCTGCTGTCGGTGCAGATGGCGATCACGCAGAGGACGATGACGAGTGTCAACTCGTGATGCGTCACCGATGCTGCAATGCACCCTTCAGTCCGTAGTTCTTTCACCAGCAGTCCCTAATATCATTCCTTTCCACTGCGGGCAGCGCCCTCCTTAAAAGAAATGAAGAGCGCCCGCTGGGCCTGCTGCTCAGGCGAGACCCCGCTTTGAGAATGATCCACCCTCCATCCTTCTGGCAGCCCCCAGGAACGCAGAGAGGCAGCAGGATGGCAAAGTTCAAGGAACTGTCCATCAATAGCCCCATTTCGAAAAGGGTCTGCGTACCCTCCATCCCTGTAATTGGTTCACAGTTTCAAATTTCTGGTCATCAGATTCTCTGAAATCGCGGGCGAGAGCCTCGTTATGGAAGTGAGTCGCCCTCCATGCATACAACGGTTGCAGAACATTGGTCTTCGAATTTAGAAACGAACTTGCCTCTATCAGTGTAGTACTTTCACACTTTGGAGCCTCGGGCCAACGCACTTGCGAAGTCCGATGTGTCAGCCGCAATTTGAAAACGAATCGCGCTTATCCTCATAACTGACTGTTGGAAGCTTTGACAACCGAGTGTGTGCGGCACTAAGGCGAGGGCCGCATGTTGAGCACGACTGGCCTTTTCTTTTAGCTGTTGGGAGTTTTTACAATGAACGTGCGTGGCGTGAAGGTCAGAGTTGCCGCTGTGAAACGGCCGACCCTCCGTCCGTGTAACAGTTCGATCTTTCGCCTGAGGATCGTGAGGTGTGAGGAAGCCTATGGACAGGACTGGCGGTGCGACAGGGAGGAGCTGTTTACAGAGGTGGCATTGGCTGGTGGCATTGGCTTCATGTCTCGCGGGGTACTTCCCCCAATCCGTGGATCTGGTGCCCAGATCCATGGACACGTAATTCATGTTCTTGTGCGCTAGAGGATTGGCGAGGCGGGGCTTAAACTTGCGAGGAATGTGCATGCGAGAGGCAGGCGTGGTGGGAGAAGCGGTATGGCAGAGCGGGCGGCCGTGGTGTGTGAGGAGTGCCGCGAGCCCTCTAGGGTCCGACCCCACGGGTGCTTCCGGCGCAGCGCGAGGTGAATGGGGCAATGGAGGACGATGTTGATTGTGATCATGCTGCCGCCGCCGCCTCCGTGGCCGCCGCCGCTGATGATGATGGTGATGATGATGATGCTGTTGTTGTTGGTGGTGGTTTTGCTGTTGTTGTCATTATTATTTGTTGTTGTTGTTGTTGTTGTTATTGTTGTTGTTGTCGTTGTTGGTGTTCTTGTTGTTGTTGTTGTTGATGATAATGTTGTTGATGATGATGCTGGTGACAGTGATGATGATGGTGATAGATGATAGTGATGATGCTGATGCTGATGCTGATGCTGATGCTGCTGATGATGCTTATGCTGATGCTGATGATGATGTTGATGATGATGACGGCGAGGAGGAGGAGGAGGAGGGCGAGGATATTCTCCCCCTTCCTCCATCCTCCTCCTCCTCCCTTCTCGCACCTCCATCCTCTTCCTCTGTGTTCCTTCCATCCCTGTTCCTCGCACCCCCAGACGTGTTGTCGGTAGAGCGGGCTGGGCGTTTCGCGTAAGATCTTTTTCAAAATGTAGTTCTCGCGTCAGCGCCGCGCACATTTGTTCTAAAAGCGTGTAACAGCTTCAAACTCTCGTCGGGTTGAAGTCCCAGGACTTGCGTTCTGGCGCGATTTCGGGTTGTCGTGCCATAACAGCGTCGCTGATTCGCGGTGTTGAAGTCCCAGGAATGTCGTTCTTGCGCGATTTAGACTTGCCTAGGCGCAGCAACCACGTTGATTCGAGGTATTGAAGTCCCAGGATGGCACGATCGAGGATCCTGATATGGTTGTTCTTCAGGGTCACTTCCCGCAATGAAGCCCTAGTCATGTAGGGACCAGCGGAGAAGGAACTTGGAGGGAGTGCTTATACGCAGCATCGCTGATGAGTCCTGGTTTTGCACTGGTCTTCCGCCTTCCCCCTTCTCCCTCTGCTGCTGACTCCCGCTCGCTCTCCCTCTTCCGTTCCCCTTCTTCACGTGCTCCCTCCTCCTCCTCCTCCTCCTCCTCCTCCTCTTCCTCCTCCTCCTCCTCCTCCTCCTCCCTCCTTCTCCTTCTTCTCCTTCTCCTTCTCCTTCTCCTTCTCCTTCTCCTTCTCCTTCTCCTCCTCCTCCTCCTCCTCCTCCTCCTCCTCCTCCCTCGCCCTCTATCTTCCTCTTCCTGTTCTTCCAAACCCTCGTTCTCATCCTCCTCCGTCCCTCTTTCTTATGCTTGCTTCCCCTCTGTCGAGCCACCAGGCGTGTCCGCAGGCCAGGCCAGGCGTTTCGCTCGAGACGGGACACTCTTACAACTTGTTCAAGTGGCTTACGCCATTCCGCCGGACCCCCACAAGGAGTGTGAGTCTTCGAGATGATCGTGGGAAGTATATCTTGGGTCGGGAGACTCTTGGATGCATCCGAGGGGCTATTGGGGTGCTTCGGGGGTCCTCTTGGAGGGCTTTTGAGGGCATCTGGGGGGCTTTTTGTGGCCTCGTGGGGGCCTCTTGGGGGCTCCTTAGGGGCGTCTTGAAGGCCTCTTGGGGCCTCTTGGGGGGGGCCTCGGGGGCCTCTGGGGGGCTTGAAGGGCCATCTTGGTGGGAACGACTCGAAGTGTCAGTTCGTATTCCCCCTCTTGGGCTTTCTTGGAGCCCTCTTTGGGCCCTCCAGTCGCTGTCTTGGGCCGTCTTGGGGGGCCCCCGGGTCCGTCTTTGGGCCCCCTTGGGCGGCTTTGGAGCCTTCTCGGAGGCAGCATGGGCCGTCTTGGGACGACCTTGCAGGCCTCTTGGGCCGTCGTATTTGCTGTAAAAACGTCAAATGCGAATCCGCTGAAACTGTACTCCGGATCTTACAATAGTGGGGGGGGTCAAAAAAGTGTTAGACGGCTCGTTTTGGACCCCCCCCCAAGAGCGGCGCAACCGCACCAAAATCCAGACCCCCCCAGAAGCATCGTTTGACGTTTCGATCTAGAACCCGCCCACAGAGAACCGTTGAGGCACAAATTGCTCGACCCCACCCAGAAAGATGACGAGATACGGATTACGATGATTTTCGCCTTTTGGGCCCTCTCAGAGGCGCTCTTGGGCTGTCTTGGGGGCCCGGTTGGCCATCTCGAAGCCATCTTGGAGCGTCGTGGGGCTGCCCTGGGCCGTCATGACGCTCTCTTCGACTGTCTTGGCGCTCTGTCTGGGTCCTGTTGGGCTGTCTTTCGGCTTTTTGGGGGCTCCAGAGGCCCTGGGGGTGCGTTGACGAGCTCGTCTCCCCCCCCCAGAATGACATTTTTGACCCCTGGGGAGGGGGAACGAGGGAGGGGGACAGCCAAATGTTTCACTTGCTTTTTCACCCCGCGCAAGCGGGGTCGGCGGATTATGTTGAAGCTAAAACGAGCTCCACCAGCACCGGGCATCTCCACGCCAGGCACATTCGTACCTACAAACAAGATTTCCAGGAGTCACAAGGATGGATGCAAGTACATTTTCAAAACGCGGCTCTCGCCATGGCGTCGCGCACATTCATTCTCAACATTTCCAACACTTCCATGAATGGACTGGTCCATATTCAGAATGCGGATCTCGCTTGAGTGCAGCAGTTGTGCGGATGGAGGGCGGCTTTTTTTCAAAGGGGCTCTCGCTTGAGACTGTCGCAACCCTGATGACCAGAACCTCGAAAGTGCGCAACATCTGTAGGATGGACGGCATATCCTCTTCCTCAAAAAGGGGCTATTACTTAGTCGCTTCGCTCATTCCGCCGGCCCTGGAGCGCTCTTGGGGGCCTCTTGGGGGCCTCTTGGGGCTCCTTGGCGGCGTCTTGGGGGCCCCTGGGGCCTCTCGGGGGCCTCCTTGAACTCTGCCGTCGTACATCTTCTCGTACCCCTCAGCTAGAGGACGGAGGTTGGACCCTTGACAACACGGGGTCTCGCCTGAGTGGCAGGGCCACCGGCCTCTCGTTGTTTGAGGATGGTGCTTCCCACAGTGGAAGCGCATACCTATGGTTAAATCGGGCGTGTCCTTCTACAGAGTAGTCAAACATAAAAGAAAAATAGTCGGGGGACGATTTTGTGAATACTCTCTTGTCATTTTGGGTAATTTGTTGGAGCATTTTTCGAATTTTCCGCTTCCTCCTCC